ATAAAATTATTTGAGGGTTTGCTGGATCCACACATTGTCCCCGCCATTTTGGATAACGACGAGAAGCTTGGAAGCAATTAATTAGTCAATTGAAACATTTTTACAAACAGTTCCTGCATTTTGGTTTGGATAGTTGCTATTCAGAACAAATATTCCATCAGCTAATGTACTTTCTGTGCATGGTGACTATGAATTGTCTAATGCTCCGTGGCGATATCTGCCTGTGGGAGACCGGCATGATTATACGTAATAATCTTGGATACATTGAGGATTGGGTGCGCGAAAAGAAAATGGTAATTTTCGCAACTAAATTATGTAAGACATTAGACAATTCGTTCAGTCTTCATGCTGTCGTTGGGGTGTACACAACCAACTTCAGCGTGTTACTCAATTGAAATAAAGAAATAAAGAAAAGAGTCAAACATAACCTAGAAAGCAAAAAATTGAAAAAATCTTAGTAAAAAAGCATCAATATTTCATCATCACGTGAAATTTTGAATATCATCAATGGATTTCTATAAAGTTACTAGATCATGGATATAAATTTGAGTTAACAGCACGTTACTCATTGTAACCAATTTCATCACCAATGAGTTAAACATAACCTAGAAAGCAAAAAACCAAAAAATTTAGTAAAAAAGCATCATTATTTCATCATCACGTGAAATTATGAATATCAGCAATGGATTTCTATATAGTTACTGGATTATGGATCTAAATTTAAGTTAAAAGGTCCAATCCATATCAAATACAAACAAAAAAAAAAGAAAAAAAAGAAGACAATTCGTTCATTTATTCGTTTTTCCTTTTCATAGTGTAACGAATTTTTTTTTTTTAACGCCATTGGCTCCTCTAAATCAAGTATCGCAATTATTACAATCGCGAAAAAGGGAAAATGATGTGCAAAGCATTTGCGATTTATGTATGAATTTGAATACGGCGCAAGTCTTGAAGGTGAAGGTGTCCAGCAACTCAACTCTTACGAAATGTTAATAAATAAACTTTTACAATCCATATTGTTTTGAAGAACAACATGACAGTTAACAAAAAAAGACTTTTGAAAAAGAGAATTCAGAATTCATGAAATTTTCCATTATTGTACGCTTTGTAAGCTTTGGCTACTAGGTGGCAAATCACCTATGTATTTATTATAATAGTGCTGTTAGATTATATCACATCTCCTTGAATCTCAGTTAAATTAAAAGCCATTATATGTTTTCACAAAATCATTAACATTAACACTTGAACACTTTTTCTTAGATAATTTTACCTTTTCACACAACAAACTCAAATAAACAACTGAAAATTTCAAATTAATGCACTTTTATTTATACAAAATTTGCTTCAAATTACAAAAAAAGAAAAAATCTAAGAAAATTTGCGAACAATGCTTTTTGAAATATTAAGAAAAAAACTTTAAAGTTATAACAATGAAATCTGACAAGATCTGATAAACGGTATTTGAAGAGAGAAAGAACAAGAGTAACAGTGAAGGAAATGTAAGAGAGGTTCAAAGCTTTGCTTCTTTTTGTATTAACGAAACTGACACTCAATACTATGCAGCACAGGTTCACGGCGATAACAGGAGGAAAAGTGACGGGCTTCAGCTTCGTGGCGAAAAAACGAAAATATTTAAAAAAAGAAAAACAAATTTACTTAAATCTTTTTTTTTTTTTTTTCTTTAGATAATAACTTATTTACCATCACTTCTCCGTAACTTAGGAAGCTATCAAATCTCAATTGACATTTATGGGCTTTATTTTCCAACGAAAGCAACCATTCCTTTAAATATTGTTGAACTTCTCGCTGCAAGCATCCTTTAATCGTTATCTCATATATGCTACAGGTTAGAGGACAAGTGCATATGTTTGCTTATTTAACGGAATGTTTGTGGGATAATGAGGAGTGCTCGAGGCCAATTGTAGAACTCTTGAAAATCAATTTAAAGGCATCAATTGTTCGCTCACATAAACCATGCGAGGGAAGTGGAAATGTGAAGAAAGCGGGAGAAGAAAAGAATTTGAATTGCAAAAGAAACGAAAAAGTACTCAATGCAAAAGTGGGCATGTTGATGACATTACTGTTACAATTGCGTCTTTCATCACAAGGGCTATTCCAATAGCTGTAACTATTCGCAATATCAAATCTGCACACACACAAACACACACACACACACACACATACACACACACAATACATAAATTGTTGATTTCACCTGATTTACATCAAAAAAGACGACATGCATCGTTCTGGACTAGTAGATGATACCGCGTTTGAGTTAGACCAACATGGCATAGTTTTTCGCAATGCTATGAAGAAATATTAGGTTTTTTAATTCGCTTTTGTGAAAATCATTCCGCAGACGTTTAAGAGTTGTTTTGAATGAAAGTGAAAGCAAAGCAAGCATGTAGTGTAGCCTTGACTAAAAAACTATAAATACAGTGACGGATGGCAATACCTAATAATAACAACTTACCGGTTACATACACAAAAGTTCCCATTAGATCGTCGACGATGTAGGCTTGAAGTTCGACGATGAAAAAATTGAAAAATTTTCGTCTTTTGCATGAAACGTTACGGCTAACGTCGCCCTACATCTAAAAACTTCCTAAATTGAACAAAGAGACCAGATTTTTGGTTTTTGCTAGAATAGAGCGATTATTTTCAAGCCCTCTTTTTGTTACCAGTTCATTAGATCGAATTACATCCAGTTTTAGAAACTTGGGCTGCAATCGATAGCTTTCGCACTCGCAGGTCTACTACCTTTGCTTTCTGCAATGAATTCCTCAGGAATGCAAGTCTTGCAAGATTCTTGCGATATTAGAAATTAAATGACGAAGAAAAGGCAGCGTTCCTATTCTGCTCTATACATTAGACCAAGTACAAATTTTAATGTTAAATTTAATTTATTTAAACAATAATTCCTAAACCGCTTGCAATTGTTTTTTACATTCTTTTGTAACAAATTGACAGATTGTTAAAGAGTTTACTGAAAGCAATTGTGTGCTCTCTCTATTTTCCACACATGGTCCTTTTTTTTATAAACGAAGGTGGGCAGTTTTGTAATTTTCTAAATTTAACTATATATATATATATTTATATATATATGTATAAATGTAAATATTAACAAAAAAATATGAATTTTTCAAATGCGTGTTTGACTAGAGAAGTCTTTACGAACAAAATATTGTCGAAAAACAACTGTTTTTTTTGTTCTTACCGTACCGCTACAGATCCAGTTGGTTACTGATCCGAAAAAGTTTGGGGCGTAAAGTCTAAGGGGAGCATTTCGCTTATACGCGAGAAAGCTAGTTATTTTAACAACTCAGCCTTTAGTCTGCTTTCTTAGCGAGTAGGTAATCTTATGAGGTGTTTACAGGAATAAAAAGTGTGGATAGATTTAACCGAATTTCCCTAGAATTTTTTCATATCTTTACGAGAGAATATTTCGTTACGAGCTGCAATAAAATATACATGAAAGGAAAAACAGCTGAATAATGTATAAAAATAATGCGTAGTAGTTGAGTTCGAAAGGAAAAACTCAAATGAAAGAGAGAAGGAAAAACTGCTGTATAATGTATAGAAATAATGCGGGGTAGTTGAGTTCGAAAGGAAAAACTCAAATCAAAGAGAGAAGCACTTGTAGAATATATAGAAAATAATGCGTGGTAGTTGAATTCGAAAGGAAAAACATCTGTTTAATGTACAGAAACAATTGTTCACGTAATTTTTGTATTTTCATTTTTTTAATACTCTTTTTTTTATTCGTCTCCTTATATATTTTTTTTCAATTTTTTATCACTCGTATTTTAATACTTGCTTTTTTATATGTAAGCTTTATTTAATTTTTTTTGTCTTTTCTTAGTATTTTCTTGTATTTTTTTTTTTTTGTTATTATTGTAGCAAAAAAATTTGTCTTTCTTGCCTTTAATTTAATTTTGGTTATGTTTAAGTTTTAATTTTCGATTCCGCGTTTTACCTCTTTCATCATTTGCAAAACACAAAAAAAAAAGGATAAAAGAAATCGAACAATGCTTGTGATGGAAATCGCTCTAAACCTAAGGACGAATTTAGGCCAGATCCTGTATGTTAACTCTATGCCTACGTTCTTTGTTTTTTATGTTATTTTTCTCTTTGGCATTCAAAAAATTTATGTAATTAAAATTTATTGTACATGATTTTTTCTTTTTTTTAATATCAAATTGCCAATATATCTGAAATGACTATTAGAGCAAGAAGCGTGCAATTATCCTTTCACTTTAATGATGACAAATCACAGATTTTTAAGTGAAGAAAAAAGGGGGAATAAAATAAAAAATGAAATTGAGTGAAGTCAAATGTATTTATTTTTTTATTTCGCTTTATGGGTTTGTAAATCATTAACGAGTATAGCTGTCATAATCCGTCTGTCCGTCCTTGTCATAGGATCTTATTACTATAACAGTGTGTTTGCTCTAATTATATTACTTTAGAAAATATTTATGTCATTTTCTCAAGCCGTTTCATTACATATACTCAGTATTTGACGAGTACACTCGTCATCGCTAAAGATGCCGGCACAGCTGGAAGTGTGCTCTACCATAGAGAGAGATTATACTTGTGCATTAGTAAGTTGAATTTGGACACAAATTATTCTGCGTGCGTGTCTGTTAAAACGGTCTTTCGTTAATCATTGACTAAGATTGGTAGTCGCCCTTAGTTGATATTTCTTCTAATGCTGAGAATCAGGGAAGGCTGAAACAACGTTTGCAAATTAAACAAGTCTTTGTATTAGATTTGGATTTGATTGCGTCAACCTCAATTACGATAACCGCAATACGGTGCATACATGGGGAAATAATTGAATTACAGAAAACCAGGACGGCCCGTACGGAGTCGCTCAAGTCATGTAAGTGATATTTGTATTCACTTAGAAATCACTTTACAAAGTATAACAAACAAGGTATAAAGAATAAGCGTATATATGTTCTCAATAATTTGTAAAAATGCCAACCATGTGAGAATAAACGTATACGTTTGTTTACATTTTTCAATAATTTTGCATGTAGTTGTATAAAATTGGTGCCTTTAAAGAATAAGCATCTATCTCTGTTCAACATACCAAAAAAAAAAAAAAAAAAGAATAAGCATATAAAATTTGGTGCCTTTAAAGAATTTTATATACGGAAGATATTAAACCCTCCGGAGAATATGATTACAAATCCGATGAAGAGGGCGATAAAACGACTCACTTTGACGACATGCAATTAAAGCAAGAATCGAATGATGAGAATGCATATATATTGCAATGTCTATAAAAAAGTTTTTACTTTACTTTTTGGAACTTTCTAGCTTTTGATGAACTTGTTCAAAGAGCAGACTGTAAAATTTTTAGTCCCAAAAGACCTGTTTGTAACTTTGATGACCAAAAATCTTTAAGCAACTCCGACATAAGTCCTGCTAACGACGTTGCTTCAAAGGATGATAATGCCGCTCGATCCGTAATTGAACTCGATGTTAGCGACTCGGAAACTAAAGAACATTCTAACATTTCTAGTCTATTTTTCGTTACTCTTAAAGAAATCGAAGATAGCCTCAAGGCTGAGGACGCCCTAAAATCTGAGAAGGAAAGCAGAGCTAAATTAGAACGTCTACGTTTTAAAAGCAAAATAACGCACAGTTAAAATAAAACTGCCGAAGATGAGCTGCAACAAGAGATCTCGAAGTCAAGCTTTGCGCTTATGGATGTGGTTGGACAATTTAACTTGGGTTTTATTATATGCAAATTAGATAGCGATTTATTCATAATCGATCAGCACGCCACAGATGAGAAATATAATTTTGAAATGTTACTACGCACGACACATTTGCAATATCAAAACTTAGCCATACCTCAAATGCTGGAACTAACCGCTGTCAATGAAATGACGCTCATAGAAAATTTACCGGTGTTCGAAAAGAATGGTTTTAAATTTAGCATCAATTCAAATGGTATATGCTAATAAGGTCTAACCCCCAGATCCTGGTTAATGATCCCTTTTTGTGTAATTTTTCAGCGCGTCCAACCAAAAAGGTAAGCCTATTAGGCAAACTGTTTAGTAAGAACTGGGAGTTTGCTAAAGAGGATATAGATAAATTAATATTTATGTTACAAGATGCTCCCGAGGGTACTGTATGTCGTTCCTCGCGCATTAGTGCCATGTTTGCTTCAAGAGCTTGCCGCAAGTCCATTATGATAGGAACAGCTTTAAAAAAATCCACAATAAAACAACTCGTACAACATATGGGTGAAATGGAGCAGCCTTGGGTAAACTTTAAATGAAACTACGTTCCAATCTTCATAACATACAGTTATTTTTTTGTAGAATTCACTTCTACTGTGCTTATGTAGCATAGCACATATAGGAAAAGAAATATAAACCATGTTAGTCTGTTTATATATATGTTAATATTCGAAAATACGATTTCAAAACTTTGTTCGGAAACTTAAACTGATAAAGTGATTTTCTTTCTCTTGTACTTTCCTTAGGAAATGTTTGAAAATCAACAGAATCGAGAAAAGGGCCAGAAATTAATCTTGTGTCATTGGGTTAATTTACATGTAAAGAAAAGACAAATGAAAAGAAGATTAGGCGAATTTAAGATCACAATAGACTTCAGCTTCAAGTAAATATTCGGTTAAATTAAACCAAATGGCCGGCACTAGAGGGTGTGTTTAACGAATTGAGTAATCATTCTACTGGCTGGGTATACTACAGAGAAAACTTACTTCCTTTTGTGTTTTCAAGGTTACTTTACGAAGACTATTTTTTGAAAATCATACGTAGATTGGCCATTTTGCATTAAGCCCCCTTTGGTATTAACAAATTTTCTGTCAAAGGGCGCATTTTCTGTTAAACAGATCATTTTCCGTAAATAAAAGAAGGAGCGAAAATGTAAAGTAGTATACAATCAAAGATAATTTCCAAAGGTTGGTGTTATTTTGGTAACTCTACAAGGTCGGGTAACTCTACAAGGTCGGCAATAGAGATTTTCGTGATACTTATAATTTCCCACCTCCGCGTACGGGAGTAGGAGTAGTAGGCGGCACCATTAACTGCCCCTTTATGCAGTTTGCTGCCAAAGTTACTTTTATCGACAGAGCATCCAATGTAGCGAAGCGCACCTTTTAAAGTTGTAAAAATAACGTAATTAAGTTCGTATTATATAAGTGGTCGATACTGCTTTTCTATCCAGTTGTTTGCAACCACTTTAGATATTTGTGTACGATTAAACAACACCAGCTGAAAAATATTCTTTTTATGTTCAAGACTATTTGCAATTGGTCTGCCTAAAGTAATTTAAGTTAAATTTTATACAATTTTTTATGTTTTCGGCTATTATTTCCCAACACCATCTTTTGGCAAGACAATAAAATTGTACATATAATTTAGAAAGAGATACGCCGCATTTTTTTATATTTTATTGTTAGATATTGATACTGGTTAACCATACTATACATAACATCACAGTATACAGCGATCAGATAAAAAATATACACAATTCTATATCAATTAATTAATCTCATTAATGACATTAAATATATATATATATATATATATATATATATGTATATACATATATATAAATACATATATACACGTATATATATTATATATATATTAATGTATTTCTATGAACTTATAAAGCACGGCCGGTACAATGCCCTCATATTTAATGCCATACTTTTGAATGGTACGAGCTGCTAAACATGATAATGTTGTATACTTTAAAGGATTTACAATATCACGTAAATTTTTTAATCTAAGTAGAGACTCAAATGTTTCACCGACAGCGTTTCTAGCGTCCTTTAAAAAAAAGAAAAAACGAAATGAAAAGGTTAAACATGTAACCGATATGGGAATAATAACTATGGGATAATAACTTACAATATGCGCACCATTGTCGAGCAGTATTTCCACAAGATCTTTTGCACAAACATGCATTGAAGCTGCTAAATGTAATGGTGTATTACCTAAATCATCTACCGAATTTGGATCGGCACCGACTTGCAATAGCGCTTTCGCTAGAGCTGGCGATGGAAACTGACAGGCAGGATATCGACCAACTAGTGTTCCCTCACGATAGCAAGCGTAATGTAGAGCTGTACGTCCTGCCCGCACTGATATTTTGAGACGATTCAATTTATAGAGAGCAATTAAAATTTCCCTTCGCAACTTCGGACAGAAATTGGGCTCTTCAATCAACCACGCCAATAAACAACCGATGTGAAGCGCACTGACTAATGCACGACTTAAGGCATTTGGATCCTGATTGCATTCATGTATCAATTGCTGCTGAGTCAAAACAATTTTCTTTTGTCCACTTAACCAATTTTGTCCTTGAGGATGTGCAGAAACGGAGAAAAATGTATGAAAGAGTCAATGCTAATAAAGTGTTGGTAAGCTAACCTCTTTCAACTTCTAAGACCGCCATATTGAAAATCATAAGCATGTCGCTGGCTTCAATTTGTGGCACAACTCGTCCACGTGGAAGCGAACGTCCGGCCTCCATTAACATAAAACTAAAAAGTTCGGCAAAAGAAAGCAAAGAAGACTGCGTCATAGGACTCAATGGAGGTAAAATTTTCTGCTGCATTGTGAGAGCATACGTCCAGAGGCCAATGCACCGATCAAAACGACCTGCGTCCGCATAGTGAGCTCCTCTATGTAATGAAAAAATTGGAATAATTGATTGCTGCAAACGCGATGTTCTTCTTAGCAAAATTAAAGGCTTACCTAAATCGTATGTAATAACTTGTATCAGGATGCGTTATACCAAGAATACGTTGGCGTATTACTAGTGCTTGCATGCGCATTTCATCAGGATCTAAACCCAATTCTTCTAGATCTTCTATTGTTGTGACTTCAGTTACATATTCATATGCTGGAATGGGCTCCATCACTATTTTGGGAATTTTCGGTTCCTGATTTCTATCTTCCATCGCTCGTCGCCACAGCGCCAAAGCGCTTACCATATCTATCTTTTTATCGACATATGTAGCACCCAACAACTCTAAGGCATCTATGCGACTTTTGCGGCAAACACATGGCAGCGATATTAAATGTTCAACTATAGGCAAATGACCAGTAACGCTAGCCGCCAGCAATGGTGTCATACCGTAGTAATCCGTTTTCATTGTGGCGCCGTGTTTTAGCAGCAATTGTAATATTTCCAACGAACCAGATTCAGCGCAATCATGCAAAGCTGTATTACCCTTAACACTGCAACGATTAACTTCCGCTTTCAACGAGAGTAAATACTGAGCTATCTTAAAATGACCCTTATAACAGGCTATCATCAAACAAGTGTGACCATGACGATTGGCTACCTCGAAGTCGGCCCCATGTCTAATCAAGTATTTAACTATTTCAAAATGCCCGTCGAAGCAAGCAGCTCGTAAAGGTGTGGAATTCGTGCGAGTGGTACTATTCACGTTGGCACCATGTCGCACCAGCATTTTAACAATGCTTAAATGACCGGCTGCTGCAGCGCACCATAACGGTGGCGCGTCCTCTATTGGCTCGCCATCAAAACTAACTGAACCTACTTTTTCAACATCAGCGTTGCACTTCGTCAACAGATAGTCCACAATTTCGAGGTGCCCATTCCGACACGCCATTACTAACGGAGTGGCTCCGTTAATTTTCCACGATATAAGCGTAGAAACTTCTGAAGATGATCTACCGCTTAGAACACTCTGCAAAACAAAAAGATTATTGATATGACATTTAATTAGCAGTTTTTCCCAGTGCATATATTTATGTAATGCATGTTTCAGAAAGTATACATATTCACCATAATAAAGAAGTGTTTTACGGATGCCTGCGCGTTTGTTCCATCTACTGAAGTCTCAAAGCCTATTCTTCTAAAAGTTCTTCTTTTCCGCCATCGTTACATTAAAAAAACCTGACATTAACCTTTTAAAAATCGCAGATATTGTTTCAAATATATAAATGTAGTTGCATATCGAGGGAAAAGCGAATTCTTTTCATCATTTCCACAGCAAAATAAACCATTCTCTAGCGAAATTTATAAAGTGATACATTCGCCTGCTCGTTAATCGTTTTTTATTTATTCAGCTACATATAAAAATTACCAGCCGTTACAAAATATCTTGGAACTAAACTAGAGCTAAGAATATGATAAGGCGAATAAAGAAAGAGATTTTGCTGCAGATCGCAACAACGACTGAGTAAATGCATAACCTTTCTAGACTTCGATATTGTGCAACAATATTAAATATAGATAATTCACTAAGCAAAAAAGAGGGAAGGCATGTATTTCCAGCAAGGGGAAACCCACAATAAAATGTAATTTTATTCATTAACTCGTGTGAATAAATAAAAGTCTCCTTATAGATAAATCTGTTTAAAATTAAGGAAGTAGACTGGATGCTAGCGTCATATCCGTTGACGGCAAGTATCACTAATTACGTGCAATAGCCTCACTGCATATATATAGGAAATATGCTTTGTCGGAGAAGTCACTTGAAGGCGAAAGGCAATTTTAAGTCGGAAACGTTGCCGAAATTTTATTGCTGTAACAAAACGAAATCAAAGGTATCATCGAAAATTTTAATTGTTCTTTGTTATGTAAAGGAAAAAAAAAATAAAATCTTCATAATTTCCATTGTTGTTATGCCCGTCGACAAGGAGATTGAATGGATTTTTTTATTATTATTTATATGCAAGCATGTCTTCCTTCACCTTCCTTGTAATGACCGCGTTATTGCCAATATATTGTATTTAATTTAACAAAATAAATATTTAGATTAGCAACTGAGAGCGACTTCAGTATTGTTTTTGGTTGAAAACAAGGGATACTTTTTCTTTGTCTTTTTAATATTCTGAATCGTGTTTCACATAACGGCTATAATTCTATCTACACCTTCTTAATCCGTAAATGAAAGAAACGAATATGCAATGCAAACATAACACATGTACCTTGTATTTTCCAACCAATGGCCAAATGTTTTTAAAAATAGTTTGAAATGTTTCTGGAGAGTAATTTTTATTTTACGCCCCAAACCCTGTTTTTAAATTTAATCAAATTAAAATTTTTTGCAATTTAGCTAACTAAGTTTGTCTATAATAACGCTTCCTGCCGAACTTTAACATTTTCATATATAGTGGTCGACGAAATCATATTATAAGTTGATTTAAGAAACATTATAAGCAAGCGTTATATTCGGTAGGGACCGAATCTTTTATTCGCATCGCCGATATTCTAAGAAAGACTAAGAAAATAGGAAAAGAGCTAAATTTCCATATTTTATAATATTGGATGGGACTTTCATTTCAGATTAAAGCTGGAAATTTATACAATGTATGTAGTGTACTTTATGAATTGCAAGCAAAAAACACGGAAAACAACCATGTTCACAGTTCTTGTTGCATAGACGTGTGAGCATTGTAGACATAGGTTTGCGAAATTTTCAAATTTGTCTACAAATTTGTAGACGCCATGTTCACATTTGCGGACGGGAGAAATTTTATCACAGGTACTGCACTGTTAAACAGGCAAACGGCCGGACGTCCTCGGATGCATTCCGAAGTTGAAACTGTTTAAAAATATAGACAGTTTATGGAGTTATTGAAACTTGCTTGTGGGTCTTACAAACGTGGTCAATCCTTTTCCTCTACATTTGCTACAGCAACGCTCGTAAAATGTGCGTTCAGAGTTTTATACATTTGTTTGCTGGAGTTTATAAGTAATGCCTACAAAGCCAATTTTTTACAGTTTCACAGTTTTCACAGCTTATTTGGCATTGTAGACATGTTCGTTGACCAATTTGACTCATTTTCAATACCAACCCGCATGCAACAACTTTCAATGTTTCTGCCAGCTTTGAAGTCGATAGCTTAACTTTAACGACCAGGAGAATGTTTCCAGAAGAATGTCCGCAGACGGACATGCTTAAATCGATCCAGAATTTGATGCTGATCAGCAATGTATGTATGCATCTTGTGCAGACTGTGAAGTCTTCTTCTGGACATTACGAACATTTTGACAAAATAATATATCCTTCTTCTTCGGTGATGGGTGAATCTGTTCCAGTCGTCAGCCAATCTCGCCGTTGTACTTTTAGCCGTTTTGCTTACGTGTACTAGTGTGTTTTTAGATGATATGTTAAACTAACAGCTTGCTTAAGGGCATAAGTGTAGTACCGATCAGTTACAAGTATGTTTTAGGACACTAATGTTTGCGTAACAAACAGATTTAAATCGAATACAATTTTTTATATCATTCACATGCCGCATGATAGATTTGCAGAGTGCTTGCGACAAAAAGAAATGCGCATCGATTTTTTACATTCTTGACCAATCATGATTTCTTTGACAATTGCCAGAAAAATTTATAATTTTCGGCTTTTTCCTAAGCTACCGCCTCATAATTGTAGGAACTATGTTGAATCTTAAAATGATTCGAAATATTTATGGCTTGTATGTAAAATGCGACCATCGATCGATACAAGAAATAAGTGACTCTTCGTTCGAATCTTTAATTCAAATGCCTAATGATGAAAACTAATCGATTCGTTTCAAGCCAAATACAAATTTTGTTTATTTCTTTTTCCTAATGAAAACATACACACACGGTAGTTATGTGAAATACCACTTTTTCTTTTTATATTCTTTACTTAGACCTCTTCTTTAACTGGCATTGACTTCCGAAAAAGCTCTCAAAATAGATTTTTAAAGCAAACCACACATAAAGAAAAATTCCTATTTCCGCATCTACAAAATGCTTTGTCTGTAATGTTGCCTCTGTTAGTCATGCTGTTGATATACTCTACACCAAGAACTAGCGTAAAATGTTTATCACAATCTTCGCCTCTGCATTTACAATACGGCAATGCTCGCTATTGGGAAACGTTGTTAAGAATATGAAGAGAGAATGGGATTTTGTACGGGAGAAATACAGAGAAAGATACGTCTCGGATAGTCATTTAATGAAAAGATGTGTTACTCCAAAGAACTTTCATATAATTTTTTATGAAAGAACAAGACGTAAGTACCGATTTTAATGTTCGTCTTTGGCTAAAAAAAGCAAATCTCTGACTTGTTTATTTAAAAACATTTAGTTCATATGCATGCATGTATGTATGTATATATGAGGATATATATATATGTGCTCACACCTACCTACATTTGTATACATATACAATGTATGCACCTTTAGCTAAAAGGTATAAACGCATAAGTGCAACACAAAAAATCATAAACAATTTCAAATTCTGAATGATAACATGTTTGAAGAGATAACAAATTCTGCCTTCGTGCAGCCGAGACGGTCACTTTAGTTGTCACAAAAAAGATTTTTTTTATATATATTCGCTTATGTGCGCTAACGTTTTAATTGGTTTAATTCAAAAATAATCAACAAATATTCGTTTTAGCCAACTAGACCAAAGGTGTGGAAGTAACATCAAAAAAAAGGTTTTGCATTTTTAATGCAGAGGAAGACAAGATGCAACCTCGACTTAAATTAGTTCTACTTTAGAAACGCTTTGGATACTAAAACATACGAAAATATCTAGTTTCTCTAAAAGCTAAACTGAATCCAGGATTGGAAACATTTAGTAAATTACTAGCACTCATATATATCGGATTAATTTTCAGTTTCCGAATAATAATATTTCAACGCGGTTAATTAAGTTTATCTTTGTTTTGTTGTGCATACGAAATTCCCGGAAGTGTATTATGTATGTAACGAAGGCAACAGTACGAAATCATTCCGGTTGAAATGAATGTCTTGTTCTTAAAACTCAAAAAGTTACAAAAATCGTTGTCGTTGTTATAAAAACCTGGCTACAGAACTGCGTACTGATAACTAAATATATGTGATTTCTTATTGACTAACACAAAAACTCGACTTGGTTCTTGGTTTAGTTTGGTTTTGACAGCGACATACCTTCAGCCGGGGTAAGTTATTGTCTCGAGCTGCATTATAGGCATCGAGTATAAGGTCCATATCAGTGCCAATTTCGTTTTTTGTCATATAAGCAATTTTTCCTTTGTTCGCTGCTATTGAATGATGCTTTTTAGGGAAATTGCGTTCTTCTTATTTTCTTTCGAAAACGAGCCAACCAACCACCACCGCACAAAGAATTGCCGTTTTTCTGCAGTTTTTTTTCTTAATTTTTTCTTTATTGCCTTTGCCTTTTGTTTTCTTATAAAATCAGGCAATTGCACAATTTTCCCAATATTTCGCGTTTTTATTGAAAAATTTTCGTTATGATTTGTTTCTATGTATTTTTTTGTTGTTAACACAATTAAGGAAACTTACGCATACAAAAAAAAAATGAAATATTTCTACTGATAGGTAATTATTATTTTAGAGTATATAAGTTTTTCCTTTTAAACACTTATGCTCAATACTCATAACACACATCGACCACGAAAAAGAATATCTTCTTTCCGTCTGTACAATACAAGAAAATAATAGTCTCACTAAAAATTCTTTATAAATTACTATATTCAACGCTGACTTCTCAAGCAAACATGTCGAAACAGTGTTTCTCATGCCTTGCTATTACGATCAAAGAATACCATGTTAGGAATTGCCAAGTGCAAGTTTTACCATGTAATATACTTAACTGTTCCCATTGACAATTCCGTTCTTTAACCGTTTTCGAAAGCACTACAGTAAGCTAAGAACTATTAACAAATAATTACAACATTTTCAAATAATCAAACCCAAGCCCATAATGTAAATATATTATTAATTAATGTGCGGAATCGGCACATACATGTGCGTCTGTAGATGAACAATGCGTTTACAATATAGGTAAATTATAAGAGAAATGAAAATGTGTAAATCATTGTATTGTTTTTACCGCATTCTATGTAAAACTTCCAGTACAAATTCAGTAGAACTACAAGTTAAATTATTTGCTTTCCAAAAACATACATTTCATTAATTATTGTGGTTGTTTTTCTATATCTTGAGAACATTTTCTCAAAAAAATTTTTTTTTCTTTTCTACCAACCATATGATTGTTTGTAACATCTGTCTATTTTATTTATTCTGCCAGATGGTACTTAACTACGGTTTGCTACTCACACATTTTAGGTAACGCATAATTGAATGTCCCGAAATATATCCGCTGTTAACTGAATGTTACATATATCTTCAGTTTAATCTGTATTCATAGCGATTGCAAATATTTGTTAGGAATTTTAACGTATTGAAGTAATGTGAAAAATGCTATGTTTACTATGTAGCGTCTCCGTAAGCAACTATGCCTGTTTTATTTCCGAAAGTAAGAGACTACGATCCAGATTAAGATTTTTACGGCTTATATATCCTTTACGTATTTTTTCAAATAATGTATTTATTTTAATTCGACTTTCGGATAAACTATTAATGAATTTATACTAAGAGGGTAACCGTCCTCTTTGCAATTTCTCTCTATGCTTTTCTTATTTACCTCTATGAAAAAAAATCGAATTTACTGTGTTATGATGAAAACTAGTTTACGATAATAATTTGATATAGAAAATAGGTGTACCAAATTATAACATCGTAGGTGTGTTTGTTAAAATCCATTCTACTTAAGAGTTTTTATGTGATATAAATCTTTCTACGGCAAAATGTTGTAATTTTCAGCATTTCGTGACGGAAATAGTAAAATTAAATAGCCTGTGTTGCTGGTGCTCAATGTCTTTTTTTTAGTCTAAGAATTCATTTCATTAGTTTAAAATTAAAATAATAATAATAATAATAATTTTATAAGAAAACCTAGTTTGCTAAATCTGAAGCACGTCAACTCACCTTTAGAGTAACATTTTTGATATTTTGCCACGCAAATAAACAAAGAATTGCTCAGCGTTAACAGAATTAAAGGTTTTGCTTATTTCTATTTTAAAATTAAATAAGTCATATGTTTTGCGAAAATGAAGGCAAGTTACAGAAACTACTGCTACTATGAGTTCTAAAGCGTTTTTGTCGAACCGTTTTCCGGATCCTATATAGAAAACGATGAAAATACGTGAAGTTGCTTGTATTCATAATTCATTAGTGTCAACATATTTAGAAAAGATTAGCAGTAGAGACAATAAAGGGATTTTACGCAACTATATTTTCGAAAACAGAATGATAACAGCAATAGTGAAACAATGCACAGATTAACAATTTCTCGTGAAGTGGCATTGCACTCATTTCCACTGAACTCATGCTATTCAACTTATTTACTTACCAAACATCACCATTCGCGATCAATACGGACTGATTCAATCTTCGAAATAATTTCTTTTTTCTCAAAGTAAGCTTAGATGTCTTGTGGGTCGTTCCTAAAAGTTATCAAAATTGGGATCAAAACCCTTACACCACCAAAACCCTCTTTCTTTGCTAACAAACCTTTTAACAAACAAGTCTGTCTTTTCTAGCCGAAAAAAAAACTTGACGTTCTTGTATTCTGAAATCGTAACCAATGTGAGATAATAATCCTTATGACTTAACTTACTACATTTTCAAATAAAGTCGCTACCCAAGTCAGGAATTTATTGATTTGCATTCACTTTTTTTTCAAACACAACTCTGATTTTAAAAAGGTTTGTTGTCGTAGCAGCACCGGTAAAGTATGAAAATGTGAAAGTTTCATTTAAAGCGTTTTCGTATCTTACAAATTAAGAAATAAAAGGATGTCCGTAAAAATAAATGTCAATGGAAATTTCAAAAAATGTAGTCGCTCTCATGCAATATTAGAAGATCCTCAACGTGTAAGAAAAGAGGAAGAAAAAAATCGAAGAAAATTACGTTTACTACAGGTTTGTTAAAAGATTTGTAAAATATTTATAAGGTGCGGAATTCAGATTTAATTTCACAGGTCCGGGAAAAAGCAAAAAATGTGGCTCAAAAAGTTAGATATGAAGTTGCTGCAGAAAAAGAACGACAGTTAAAAAATTTGGAAGAAGCTAAGGCCAAGGAATTGGATATTTGGCGTAAAGACATGATTAAGCAACATAGTCAAGCGTATTGTTCTGCCATTGGTAAAATAGGGCAAGCTCATCGGGCGGCTAAAAAAGAAAATCAGAAGTCTGTTTGCGTGAACGCAAATAGAGCTCCAAGAAAAATTTATACTAATCAAAAGAAGTGTACTTGTTGTAAGGAATCAAAATGTATCAGTACTCAAACAGACAAAGTCCAAAGCGAGGCAGATAATGATGTGAGTAAACGCAGGAAACCACTCAAGTGTGTATGCGAAAAAGCAGAAGTGGCAAAAGACAACGAATTTGCCGGTAAACGAAAACGCACTATTTCTTTTTCCTCATCCAGCAGCGATTCAGAGAGTGAAATAGATCCAAAAGGACGGTTTGAATTGGAAATAACAGATAGTAGTTGCTCAGACAGTAGCTCACTGTCATCAACGGAGTGTGTAAGCACGGCAAAGAAATCGGAAACAGAGAAAAAAGTCTCTCAAAAAATACCTTGTACAGTTCTTGATGTTGAAATTGATAGCAATAATTCTATCGAGATTGTCAGTCCTCATGGGGGACTAGAAGGCCAGAAAGTTATTAAAATTCGTCCTAGCAGAAGTAGTAAGAAAGACAAGCAAACTGTGGAGAAAAGAGTACAGGCTGAATCAGTTTCGCAGAATTCGTCAGAGCTTACAAGCAGTACGAATAAAAAAGACAAAAAAAATGTGGATAGAAAAGCAGAGTCTGAATCTGCTCCAGAGAATTCATCAGAGTGCATAAGCATATGTTTTAGTCCTTCTAAAAAACCTGCATTGGCTTCCAAAAAACCAAATGAAGAGAAACGTTTTACACTTGTTTCCAATTTGATAAAGAAACATCAAAGCACGAATACTATAGTGACGCCAGAACTCTCGGAAAAAGAGAAGTCTTCTCCATCTAAGCAATCAATAACAACTTATACGACGTCTCAATCTCATTCAGGTATCGAAGCACCGGCGCCATCCCAAAAAACTTCTTCGATATCATTCAAGAATGCCACAGTGCCACAATCTCGACAAACCTTCCTTGTATCAAACAACGGCAGCGGTAGTTCTGGACGGGTGCAATTTTACGATTATAACACTAAGCAGTCCAAGGGCTACCTACAACCAGCACATGTAACGATAGAACGTCAACAAGATCGCTTACAGCCGACGGCAATGGAAGATGCTGCAAAAGAAAAACAATTACAAAAGGATCGTGACGAAGCACGAATTAAGCAAAAGTAAGTTTTTCGATTAATCCAAAAACGGAAACTCTATTTTTGTGTTCGTAGTAAAAAAATGGAAGAACGTGGACAAAAAGCACTTGATCGTGAACAAGTTCGGCAAGACTGCAACGAACTCACCGAAAAATTGGAAGCTCTCACAAAACAGTATCCACGCCAGTTGCCAACGCGCGTGAGTACATAATCCAATCAGGTTAAGCCTTTTAGTATCTTTTCAATATTTAATTCAGGATAATACGGAACACTTTTTTGAGGATAAACGTGTACGTAATGAGGCGAAACTGAATGCTGCGGTAGAAGAATTGTTAAGTCGACCAACAATAATCACGTGTTCGGAAATCTACAAACCAGGGCCTAATGTATTAAAAACTTCCACAAAAAGTGCAAAATTACAAAATGAATTAAATTTAGGTTGCACACCATTACCAGCGGACGACGTGTCAAGTGATAGCTGCTGTTCCATACTATTGGATTATGTTGAAGATCAAAGCAAACAATTGTACAGCGATTTGCAAAAATCGGATCAAAATAAGGAAAAGTCCACACATCTTAAAAGTTTGTTGAAACGTTTGGATGAGTTTCGCAATTGTTTGCTGAGAGAATTGAAAGATGAAAGTCAAAAATCGAAAAAATGTCGGAAAGATGACATGCGGCGTATAGTGGAGTCCGTTACTGACTTGCTAAAAGAATGTTACAATATCCCTGAAACAAAAACTAAAGAAAAGATAGAGAAGGAAAGCATGGAGGAGTCGAAAAAGGTAGTTTTGACAGATCCAAACAAGGCTTTGGAAATCGTTATCACAGTGAAAGGAGATGAAGGTCGGCAGATAAGACATTCTGGTAAAATTAAGAAAAAACCTGCAAAGACTCCTTCAAGACTGACAGCTCTAGTAAAAAGTCCTCATAGTAAAAAAGTAATCCCGTTAAAGAAACAACGAACATCTTCGCAAAAGCAAGAGTTGATACGTTTATACGATTCTAATTCCACTTCGTATCAAAGTTTACCACCGGAAATGGTTACAAAACTTGACGATTTAATGAAACAGCAATTATTGGATAAAACCCATCATCACAAAGACAACGAACCTAGTACTGAGAGAAAAGCAACAAAAAGATCTGCGCCACCGCCACTTAATCCTCTAACTGCACAGTACATACAACGTTTATTGGCAATGTCACATGGAGATATTCAGAAACTTGGAGTAAGTTCATCAGAAATAGAAACACCAAGTTCATCGATTATAAATACACCAAATAATTTAACCAGTTCATCAGATATTGTTTCGAATGAACGGCTTGAATTCATACAGAACTTTATAGAAGATAATCGCAGTTTTATAAAAGAACTTGAGCACACCTTAGATACGCATAACACATTGCCAGGTGACGCAAGCATAAGACTTTTGGACGACTTATGGCGTAAACGGCTTTTCTTTAAAGAGGGTCAAATGCCTACCAAAATTAAAGACGATAAGCAACGCCATAACGATTGGGATGTTGAAAATCTCCGCCACGCAGATTCAATTATTCAAGATAAAGCGTCTAAAGAACCGCATGGTGAGAAGCAGCGCCATGCAGATGCGAATATTCGAAAGAAACGCCCTCAGACGTTTGACGTTGAAACACGACGTAATATGGATATTGATTCTCAAAAGAAACGTCTTAACGTTGTAAATGGTCAAAAACAAAGTCAAAAAACCGATAAGAGGCAGAGTAGAGCAGGGCAGCCTAAATCAAAAATAATAAAGCAACGAGAAAGCAAAAAACCGGAAAAAGGACAGGAGGAGGATCAGGAACAAGAAACAGAGAACGAAGAAGAAGGGGAAGGCGAAGAAAAGGGAGAGGAAGAGGATGAGGAGGGAGAAAAAGAAGAAGAGGGAGAGGCTTCCGTTGACACTTTATCTAGCGAAAGTTCAGGCAAAAATGCTCGTCGTGGAACAGTTGAAAAGCTAACACAAACCTCATCAACATTAGAAAAAGCACAAAAAGTAGATAAAGCTGTAGAAACAAATATTGCGGAGACACCTGTTATCGTAGAGGCTAGCCAAAGATTAACGGAGAATTGTGCGCTACGTATTGCTGAATTAACAGAACTTATCAATCGAGTAAGAGAAGAAAAGCAACGCCTTTTAGAAGTTACGTTAAGCTCGACTAGTGAAACCGGGCTTCAATCGACAGAATACTTGGAATTACCAGAAGGCAGTGGATCAAATAAAAGAATTGATCTAATTGAAACGGGGGTAAATTTGAAGAAAGACATAGCAAAACTAACTCCTTTGAGTAAAACTCATGCTATAGGCGATAGTCGAGATAGTGGAATATATGATTCACGGCCTGCTACTGCTCAAGGTGAACGCACCGACGCTGAACCTGACTCCCGCACATCTCCAGAACAACACAGCAAGCAACAACGTAAACAAAAACCACCACCCACTATCCAGCGATTTAGTCCACAATTTGCAGAAGCAGAGCCGATTCACGAGCTCTCTACCATTTTAGAAGTAGAAACTCCGGCGACATCACGTATAAATGCAGCTCAAAATGCGGTCGAAAGTGTAAATGCTCCTCAATCTCCTTCACAAACGACATTTCCAACCTTTGAACAATATGTAAAGCAAAATAATTTAGATTTAACACAATTAGACGCCGCGCAAAATGCCCAATTGCATATAGACTTTTGTCAATACATTGACAAACTGCAAAAACAACAAATAAAGTCACGTAAATATATTTTGAAGTGTTCGTTAATTATTCTTATTTTCATTCAAATTGTTTTATAACTTCAGCGCCAAAATATAAAGAATTTCCAACTGCTAAGGATTACATGCAACATTTTTTGGACAGTGACTCCAGAATATCCCAATGTGCCATATCAGAGACAAGTACCGAACCTGAGGAGCGAACTGATTTAAAAACTGTTTCCCCTGTAAATTTTCCTAAATCACACGAATATACAATTTGCACAACATCCGAGTCAACTGAAACTAAGCAACAGTTAATGATATCAAAAAGTATTGGGAAATCTTCCTCCTCAAATGAATGCGAATCCATTAATATTGAAGAGGAATTGAAAAAACGAAATATTTTAAAACAACCATTTCGCTCTAGTGAAAAGAAAAAGGCAGTTAGGACCAGTGCTAATCCAGAGGCTGAGTTCTTTGCTGACGTCATGCCCATAGAAAGCGGTATTGAAAAGCTGTCAACCTCCGAGCAAACAGCAGACAGTTTGGAAGATACTTTGATGCAACTACTAAAGCAATGGCCTGAATTAATACGACGCAACGTCAAAGAAAATTTATCTTTCAAACATATGGAGAACCAGGTAGGTAACATTTAGGTTACAATAACGCAAATCCAAAAAAAGAATGTTTCCGATTTTAATTTACTAACAACAGCCATGTGCCACCATGGAGGCCAGTCAATCCTTGAATATACGCGATTTTCTGACAAGAGAGCTTCTAAAACATGCCGCTCTATCTTCATCACTTAGCTCTAGTAGTGAGGACTCATTATGCAATCAATTCTTGCTTTCCATTATTGGTTCCATAAGTCCACGACAAAATGTTAAGATAGATAAAAAAACAGCTCCCCGAATTGTGGAACACCAAGTGACTTCTACACCAGTTGAAGAGATGCGCTCAACAAACTACGATTCTTCTGATATATCGTCTCAAATGTTTACAGGAGAGAGTACAATTTCGTCGATTCGTTGTCAACAACAGCAGCGCAAATGTTCTGTACTATCTGCAAATAATAAAGGCCATGCCGCCGGTGACAGAAGTTCGAGTACCTAAGTGAAACGTACTAAGAGCCAATCATGCGAAAGCAGGTTTGATTGTAGATCATGACAATTATTATTTTTGAATTATTTTTGAGGTTTTTTTACAAACTTTTCATATACTCTCCATTTTCCTATCGGTTTATATTTGAGATAATCAGGACTAAAATTAGTCTGCTTTTTTTATTGAAAAGTTGAAATTTATTTTGTTAAATATTTCCAAGAATATAAAACTTTATTCTTAACAATTGTAAATCTAAGTCAGCAGACCAGCTTATATTGTCGACTTTAGGTGATAAAAAAAAAAATGAAAGATTGTAAGTACTGTAAGTTAACAATATTAAGTAGATTTGTGTGGAACTAAGGCTTCAAATTTTGTGTTTTCTGTAGGCTTGACTGGCCATATATTTAAGCATTTCAGCTTCCGAACCCGTTGCTTCTACCATTTGCCTTAACGTGCCATGTGAATTTTTCATTAGAATGTATGGTTTATCAAACTCCCGCACTAGGCCCGCGTCCATTACTAATATTCGATCTGAATCCATTACCGTCTGTAAACGATGAGCCACTGTTAGCACCGTACAGTGCTTGAACTTTAGACGTATAGTGCGTTGTATAAGAGCATCAGTTCTGAAATTTTATAATAAATGAGCGACAAATATTAAGCGTTCTAAATGCTTTTTTAAGTTTTTGACTTAATTAGTTTAAGTGATTAATTACACAATCGGTCCAAGTTAAGAATGCTTTTATAGCAGCGCCAACCGTATGAAGTGTGATAAAGTGTGTGGCCTCCTGTACTAAGAATTGTCAATTAAAAATTATCCCAAGTCGATTTAGTCATTTCCATCCAGTAGTGAGTTCGTTTTTCGTCCATTGTTGAAGCTCTCTCGACTTCAAAAACTGAAGCTTAATTTCAAGTTGTAGTCTACGCATCAAGCATGGAATTGTGGGTTATCCACTTGTAAATATGTTTACTATTAAACCAACAACTTTCGTCATTCGCCTTCAGACTTCAATAATTTATATCGTCACACTATAACCGACAGTTCTGTACTAAATTCTCAAAATTGTGCACCCTTTTAATGAGTCTAATCTGGTGGCAGACCAGTTCGTGGACCAAAAAAATCTTTAAGAGGAAATGCATTCAAAAGGTCTTTCGCGTCCTACTTCATAATGGAGTTTGCATATTAATCTTCCTTTGCTGTGTATGAAGTCTATAAAATTCAGCAATTAAGACCATTTGGGGATAAGTCGAATGAACACTTAATACATCTTTAGTGACGTTTTCTTTTCAGTGGCTCAACATCAAGTAACGCTTTTATGCGGTTTATCCGTGAATAATATTGTTGGACACTTTCTTCTATAGGGCGGGAGTTTGTTTTAGACTATTAGTAATGCGGTTCTGAGATAACCGTTCTATGAGTGTTGCAATGGACGGATTTGTCTAAGCCAATTTGCCGTAAATGTAGAAGTGTCACAAGGCTTTCTTCTGTTTATTAACTTTCTATGTGGGAGAATCCTAGTTATTCATTTGCGGACGATAAGATCTCGCACCATTTGGTTCATTTAATAAAGAAACCATGCAATACCGACTTGCAAAATAAACAAATGAAATGAAAAATTGGGGAAAGTACACACAAAATTCGAATATCTGGGCGGGATGAAGGAAACAGGGTGGATTTTAGCGGCAACCAAATTGGTGCCCGCCTTTATCACAAAACAGAAATGATGAGCATCTCTTTGCGTTTGGTGTGAGGCTGAAAATTGAAATACGTTCAGCAGAACGTAGTCGAAATGTTGAAAGTAGTCAATGCTCTTGATTTTCTAAAGCAATTGAGAAATACTATATCTGCACCACATGCATCGTCTACATCCAGCTAAGATAAGAATGCAATTGTGTGGGCTTCTAGAGATTCTCGACTGCATGCAGCGAAGAGATGCATCAGCGTAATTTGCCAAATAGGACTAGCCAGTCGTCCTGATGCCACGTTCGTTTGACAAAAAACTAATGGCAGTGATGTTCCCGCCCTTATTAAGGTTTCGCTACGCTGCTCCCTGTTTCCCTTCCAATCTGGCTATAATCCATCTTGACCATCAAAATCCCTATATGTGAAGTACCCGCTTAAATAAAATGAAATTAAATAACACAATTTATTCTGAACAGGTAGTGGTCTCAGCAATGAGTATCCCAGAAAGTCAGACAATTAACTTTAGGCATATTCAATAAGTTGGAAAAGCAAAACAATTTGCAAAATGGACATATAAGATGATGAACAAGATTTTAATGCCAACGTTAGAAATTAGGATTTAGGATATGAGCGCAGCCGTAGCGGCTATTTTTAAGGCGTTATTACAACTTCTGCAAGTTTACTGTCAATGTATGTGCGACATGTTGGTTCAAAAAAAAACTTGCCGACGATAAATCTTTACTTACTGCGGATCAACGTTCGCCGTGGCTTCATCTAGCACCAAAATACGGTTATTGCGCAAAATCGCTCTGGCTAGGCATAGCAGTTGACGCTGGCCTACACTGAAATTACTGCCACGCTCAGTTACTATAAAATCTAAACCAGGAATAGCGCCTTTTAATTCAACCTGTAATGGAAAATTTTGAATTTACTGAAACCTTTTTCTACAGAAAACGTTTACATCCTCCAATGCTCGCCATAATTCGGAATCTGAATATTTTTCAAATGGATCCAGGTTGTAGCGTATTGTTGCTGAAAATAGAACCGGGTCTTGTGGAATTATAGAGATTTTTGATCGGAGCGTTTCTAGTGATATGGAGTTAGTATCGATGCCATCAATTAATATAGATCCTTCAATATAGGTCAATCGAAAGAGAGCTCCAATGAAAGACGATTTTCCCGCTCCGGTACGCCCGACAATGCCAACTTTCCAGCCTGGTTCAATGATTATATTTAAATCCCTAAGTATGGGAGATTTGTTCGGATCATAACGGCAGTAAACATTTCGAAACTCGATTAGACCATGACTTGGCCATACGTTAGGGGGAGGTTTATTTGAATCACTCTCTTGTTCTATGTCAGTGTATTGCAGAACACGTTCTACGCTTGTCATTTGTTGCAAAGACTCGGCTACTTGCCTGACACCATATTGCACCATACCGGTTAGAATCATTGCTTGGGAAATTGCTAGGCCAACATTACCGCTATATGTTTCTGGAAAAATATCAAATAAATTCAAAGAGCCTGAAAATTAAAGCGAAGTCTTTCGTATAATACTTACGTTGGCTTAACACAATAAAACTGAATGTTACGGAAGTTAGAAAGCAACAACTAACGCAATCTAACCAAAGCCCCAAAGCAGTGTTGGCTGCCATTGTCAATTGCCAGACAGCACTGTGAACATTTTGCAAATCGTCGAACTCACGAATTACTATCTTGTGTAAATTGCGTGAACGTATTGTAGCCAAACCGGACAATGAGGAAGATAAATGGGAAAACACCGGACTACGGCCTTAAAATAAATAAAAATTCTATGCATTACTCCTTCTCGCTTACATTAAGCTACAAAACTAACAGATTCCTTCCAAGCGCTTTAGATCTTGTGATGGACGCAAATATAGACGCAAGATTAAAATATCTAGGACTGTTACTATCGCTATAGCAGCCATTAGAATGGGATTAACAACGCAAATCACTATAAGTATACCAATCATGACCAAAGCTATTTGTATAAAGTCCATCATAGCTTTGGGCAAAAACTCGTCAATTGCACCCATGTCTTTAGAGAAACGATTTAGTATGCGTCCAGAAGGATTGGAATCAAAAAATTTCATGACTGCATGCAGAATGGAATAAAACATACGATCGTGCAATATTTTAGAGGCATGCATGCACACTTTGAAGAACAGAAATCCCCGAAAGATTGTCATCTACAAAGTAGGCAGGCAATTACGTATACATTGCAAATTTATTGAAGTGAGCGTTTTTTCACAATACCCACAATCACTACACCGACTATTAAAGCGCCATAAATGTATAAGCATTCGTAGGTTGTTAAGATAGTTGTTTCATTGATAGAACGCAGATACTCCTGCTGCGTCCATATATTTACAAAATAATCTGAGCCGCTACACACAATTTGTGATAGCAACATAACGAACACCATGAAAGATAAGCCCACCAACGTGCTACCGGCTCGAAAGTATGCATTCCAAACACGTAAACTAACGCCGCCACCAGCTTGCTCTTCTGCCGCTATCTTATCAGTTAATTCGGCGTCTGCATTTTCCTAGAACAGTAGTGAACATATAGGCTTATTCTTTAAACAAGATTTTCTTAAACATTTTTAGCAACTAACTGAATTCCTTGACTGAGATCCTTCATTTGAACTTGCTCTTCTTAATGGCTGGTAGCCGTTTTCACGCACTCCATCTATATAGGGAATGTCTTCTTCTTCTTTATTCGAATATTCTTCCGAGTTGGAAGTGGTGCTTTCGCTTTTGCTGTTTTCTCTTTGGGGACGCTCTAGCAGCTTGGCGAAGTCTAATTCACTTATGATCAGTTCCTTATATGTGCCCTGACGGGATATGCGGCCGTTTTCAATAATAACTATCCAATCTGCTTCATTGAGAAAGTGCACTTGATGTGTAATAAGAATGCGAGTAACATTCTGCTGAGCCAAGCAACTTCTTGGTCCAATAACCTCTTCGAACAGGTGGCGGCCTACGTGGGCATCAACTGCACTAAGGGGATCATCTAAAAGGTAAATCGAGGCCGGTTTATAAATGGCCCGTGCCAAGCTAATGCGAGCTCTTTGTCCTCCCGACAGAGACGCACCACGTTCACCTACAATTGTTTTATCACCGTACGGCAATTGCTCGAAATCCGCTGATAAAGCACAGCATTTAGTTATCTCTCGATAACGTGCTTTAGTGTATTCTTCACCAAATAAGATATTATTCCGCACCGTACCCGAGAACAGCCAAGGCTCTTGAGCAGCATATGAAATGGTTCCATTAATGACAACTCCACCATCTGTTAAAGGTAATTCGCCCAGTATAAGTTGCATAATAGAACTCTGTAAGTAATAAGTAAAAACACATTGAAAAGAGAGAATTACAACATAATACAAAAGTACCTTTCCAGCACCTACAGGGCCCACAATGGCGCATAGTTTTCCCTTAGGTATTGAAAGTTCAATCTTGTCGAGAGTAAGCTTTACTTTGCTAGGATCCCATTTTGCAGTAGCTTCTTGAATAACCACAGCTTTAACATTACCACTACTACTCATACGATCCATCTTATAGGTAATTCCGCGAGTTCTGTTCTCGCAGTCGTCTTGTTGTAAAAATGCTTGTATACGTGTTAAAGAGACTAGAGCTTCAGCACCAAAAGATACCGCCAAAGGATACCAAATAGCAGCGACTAACTGCAATATATTATAGTAGCCGGCCATTGCAAAAACAATATCTGCCGAAATCGTATTGCCCATGAATACCGCTGCCGCTATTGTTATGTAAAGTGTGGAACGTTCCGTAAAAACCATTGTGCTTAAGTAGAAACCTCGCAAATAAGAAGCATAACGTATTTGTTTTATTTCACGTCTTCGGGCTTCTTTCACTACTGTTTGAAAAGGCTTTTCCCAAGCATACATTTTGATTACCTGTATGCCTTGGACCAATTCGTTCATAATGCCAACCCGAGCGTCCGTACGTTCAGCGATTTTCATACGTAACTTCGAAGCCAATTTACTAAGTCCCGTTTGAACGGGTATAGTTTTCAACAGCAAACCTACAACACCAACTACCGCAGCTAACCCAATTCGCGTCGAGATGAGATAACATATTAGTACGGCTTGTATTGGCATGATCCAAATCCAATGGACAAATATAAAACCGTAATCCAAGCGATTAACATCGTTTGATAGAAGATTTATTAAATATCCGGCTGGTGTTTGTCCAGCGGACCTCATAGACATCGCTATTGTCTATATATAAGCAAAGTCGAGGAAATGTTAAGAAGCGGCGAAAATAAGAATAAGTAAACGTACTTTCCTATAAATCAACGAACAGCAAGCTATACGCATGCGTGCACCTAACAATCTCTGACGTAAATCCACATGATGTATAAGAAAACATCCCAACAATGTTGAACAAACTAGGATAGCTCCTAACCAATGCACATCGTTCCAGATAAAGTGAAGAATTTCATTAAAATTTTCTACAAATTCCCAGTTCTCTTCCTCTATTTGAGTACTATTTGAATTCGTTGATGGCAACTTTTGTGCAGTCGCTTCGTTTTTGTTAAGTGAAATGACTAAAAAGTTTATTGCTTTTTCTTAATTATTGAGTTTTGAAATTAAATAAATTATAGTAGTGTATGTACGCAAACATAATTCTTACCGTTATCTTCATTGTTACCCCTGGTCGAGACTATTGAACGTATATGACGGTGATGAGTGGTATTCGAAAGCAGTGAATTATTGCTAATAGCCGAGGGTCTTTCGAATTGCAATAGCAATTGAGCCAAAACAGCGGGTATTACTGATCTGAAACAGAAGTAAGGTAAATAAATAAACAAAAGTTCTGAATGGATTGGTTGTATTTACATTCCAAAGCAGTTACTCACTTAAGTACAATATAAACAAGACAGATGATGCCGTCTACAATAGCGGAGCGATAAAATGTTCGAAGAATCGCATTTCGTAAATGAGGCTCTCTGTTGTTATAACGCGAAACTTCAATTTCTTTAAACCAATTTCTGAAAAAACAAGGAAAAAAATGTAATATTTGCTTCCAATAGGTTCGTAACTGATACCTTCAAAAGGGTAATGTTCTGCTTGTAAAGTATTTATGCATATATGAGGACATGTATTTATGTATATACATATATATGTATATACATTATATTATGTATACATACCTTCACTCGAAAAAGTTTAAGGTCGGAATGGCGGAAGTGTCGGAATTGGCAAAGTAATTAGTTTTGGGTTGATAGATATGTAAACTGTGGATATACTTAACTTTAGAACCGTTTGTGAACTACTGTCCTGGTTACGTTTTTCAATTTTTTATTTTTGCTGTGAAGATGCTTTGAAAGTGTCCCAAAAAGTCTAATGTGTTGTTATTAAGAGAAAACTCGATTTGATGAATGTTGCGGAGCATGTGAAGCGATTTAACGTTAGCGTAAATGCCGCACATAGAGGTTTACCCTAATTACATAAATCAACTTTGAAAATTTCTATACTCCGGCCATAAGGTCACCAACAGTTTAAACACAAAAAAAGTTTAAACATGAAAAAAAATGAAAATTTCATCATATTTGTCCTGTATGGAAATCTACGGCATATAAAGGGTAATAAAGGAGAGGTGGATAACATTCTACATTTACCCTACACAATTTATGGTAGAGAGTTAAGATTGCTGGTTGGAAGTCGCAAGTTTGCAAGCATTTTGATGATTTTTTGAACACTAACATGCTTGGGCCCAAGTGTAAACCATATTGCATACCGATTTTATCAAACCATACAGAGTTGTACTCTGAAAAAGTCTTTGTGAAGTAATGTAGAATGTTTGACGCTCTCTTTTGCCGGAAGGTAACGCTTTAAATTGTTTTGATTGCTTAAAAGTTGATATACTGGTTTTATTTTTTAACGTTTGGAATTCTTAAAGACATATTGAAATTAAGTGCGTATTTTCTTAGCATACACGAACAGGGAAATCCTGAAATCTTTTGTGAAACTGAAACACTAAAATGCAATCTTTTAAAATTTTCAATTCGGCGTAATAAAAATTTACGCAGTGTTTGTATGTTTATCTTATAATGTGTACCCATGACCTATCCCAAGGGTATCCTAATCTATTTTTCTTACAATTATTACTTTTCAGTGCGTGCCTGCATGATTTTATTTCAATAGACTCTGAACTGATAAACTTAGGTCATGGGATAACAAAGTCGTAGCGGCGTTTATTATGGATGTTGTCTAAAGCGCTAATCAAAAAAAGTCAAATATGTTTAGATTAAATTTAGTAATACGATAAGTCGATCAGTTGCATTAAAGAAAAAAAGAAAAAGAGCAATTTCATACAAATTTTTTACAGATAATTTTTAGAAAATTTCGTTTTTTGTGGAAAAATAGGAAAATATTTTATTTAAGATCACAGGTTACTTTCGCTTTATCAGTAAAGTTATGAAAAATACAAATCTTCATGAGCTCATGCCTAAGTTTATTGGGGAATAATTCTAAGAAACGTTTGTCATCTGCTCCAAAAACATTTATTTATAATTTAGCAAGTTAGATTTAGTCGTATGACATAAATTAATTAATAAACAGTTATGATCAGTATACTCATTGTCGCTGTCAACTAAAAGGCATAAAATATTATATATAGATTCTAACATTTTTTCGAAAGTTAAATTTCATCACATTTTTACAAATTATATTCACAATTAATCAAACAGTCCTGCCTAATTCGAAACTGTATTTCTGGTCTTTACACAAAGTGCTCTCGTTTTTCGACGGAAGCGCAGCAAAAAAAAAAGTGGCGATAGCGTTAGCAAGTTTCAACTATTAATGTAAATGAACACGAATTAAATAAAAAAGGCAAGTTACAGTATTATAATCATCGAAAGCCGAGCAGTAACCACTGTACAACTCTTCACCTTATACTACCGAAATGTTTGAATGGTGCAACTGCCAGCTTTAATAGGTTCACAGTTTGCAAAGGTAGAAACACGCAGGAATTAAAGTGCCACCGCCATAAGAGGTGTTGGAGTTACGATCTAATTTAGCAGTGTTATAATTTTTAATTGAGAATGATTCGCGACACTTGAGAAAGATTTCGCAAAGACAGCGAAGGGGTCGCTGATTAATACTGTTCTCGAGACAAGCACAAGACGGAGTGAATATTTTGTCATTTTGTAATTTATTTATAAAGTCGGAAATCTGAGGTACTGGTATGATCGATAATTCTTGTAAGATTAAACGATTTTTAATTTGGAAAAAGCATTCGCAGTAGGGAGTGCTTTGCAAAATCGTGCGGTTCGTAAAGGGGGAGGTAAGTTAGTCAAGTTTTCGAGTGAAAGGAAGAAATTGATCTTGGGGTGAGCATAAATGCTCTGAGAGAAGAAAAAGACATTAAGTTTAAGGCGATCAGCAGCATTTTTTTTGGATTTTAAAATTTTTTTCGTAAGAAGGACAAATACTTGAATTAAATGCTTAGTCACCTTTACAATGAATGCGCCTTTTAATTTGTGAACAGAACGGTGAGGTCATTTTCGGCGCTACAGAGAGGTCGAAGAAACTTTTGACGAGTGCAGACTTTATCAGTATGACCAAGACGTCAATATTTGCCGCACTGTGTTACCGTCTCGCCGTAAGGTTTGACGGCGCGATTAATACCTTCTATGCAATTATGTTAAGGTAAGACATATCCCGAAAAACATATTCGAACTATGTCTAAAGACATGCGAGAATTGGTGTTTAGATCAAATTTCTGGAATCGCACGACTTTTGTTACTTTGCACAAGTCTGGCAATGGTCTAAATTTAAATAAATTTTTGGGAACGGCCACATTAAAAATGTCTTCCTCGCTAAAACCTGGGAGAATGAGAGCAACCTCATGAATATCTCAAAATTCGAAGGTATGTGAACAATGTAAAAGTTATTAAGTGAAGGGTTAGCGGCAACAGGGTTTGCCGTAGATGCATCGTATGTAATTATCTTAATTTTTTTTCGCTTAAGTTAAAGAGGACTTGTATATTGGAAGACTTTGTGTATTTTTTTTTCTGTTTTGGCTTGTTGTAGGCAAATGGAGTGTGGTCTTTCACTTCATTCTTGGGTTCTACCATGGTTGGGGCAGAAGGATCTGATGTGATAGAAGTTCGTGATTGTAGCATATAATTTAGCATGAAAGGTTTTTTGAATATCAGAGATCTCAGGAACAAGGGATGCCTTGAACAAATTATTGATCAGACGCATGCGCGCTATGGAGTTGCTAATTTTTTAGGCGTATTTATGACAGACATTTAGACATCGAATCTGAGGGGTTCGTGATGGGTTCTGCTTAAATAATACGTATTCAATACTCCATTTGAAGAAAAAATAGACAGAATTTGTGAGGGCGGGGTCAAGAATACCTCCTGCAGGGAAGTCACCGAAGGGAGTGACAATCGCTAAAGCTTTACCTCTATTTGACGGTTTGTCGGCCGCAGACACGATGTCTGGCAATAAAATCTCCGGCGAGAATGAAATTAGTTAAACCGCTAAGCAGGTCACACGGCCTTCAAATTACGTCACGAAAGGTTCGAATATCAATTCGTGGTGGAACATGGACTGAAGCAACGATGATATTCGGACGAAGATTTGTAGATTTGATGATGACTATGACAGCAGACACTGGAAACACCAAAATCAATATGATTTGAGTTCAAAAAGAATTCCAGAAAGAGGAAATTCCGCCGGAAATTCTGAATATTGTGGTCAAAAAAACATATCATGTTGAATTAGGGGACAAAATCAAAGCATCTCCCGACCCCATACTTTGGACAGCGTCGTAGGACATAGTGAATTGGTTCAGTTTTTGGCTGTTGTGATGATTTTGCAGACTTGAAAGGCTAAAGAATATTTCGAATTCAGATGTCCGTTGGTTGTTTATATAAGCTTTCGTCTGTCGAAGCCGCTTCCGTACTGAGGAGACCGTGGGTCGAGGGTTGTTCAATTCTGCATCAGCTACTTTTTTGTATCTTTGTTTAACAAGGATCCAGTTAACTTCTTGGTTAACATTTTTGATGTTCTCATCAGAGAAAGTAGTGGGAATTGAAGAAGAATTATTTTCATATTTACTAGAATCAAGACAGACGTAATAATTGTTTGAATATTTTTCTGGGCACCTTGGACAATATATTTTTGATTGCCATAATTTTCTTAACTTGTTCTCCTTTTTCTGGGTAGGATACTGTGGGGGGCTGTAGGCAGAAATACAGGGAAGGGATTTAGTTTCTTTGTAATTATTGGTGCAGGCAGGGCTGTTGCCGCAGTTGAGGCACTGAAACTAGGTTGTCTTGCAGCATTTAGCAATATGGAGAAAACGAACACATTACGCCGCTACGTCTCAAAATTGGTATGGAAACATTAACTTGGAGAATACAGAAATTAAATCGAATAAATTTGGGATTGTTTCGCCCTTGAAATCTATTTTTATACTAGTGGTTGCTACGAACCTTCAGCTGCCATCGTATTAATTGAGCGGCAGTTGAGTTTGTCGCAGACGCATCGGAGGTAATTATATTATTTTTTTTTTGTTTGATCTAAAATAAAAATCTATATAGGAGAGCTGTTGGTATAACTTATTACTAAGTTCTATTACAGGCAGAGAGACATTTTTCCTAGATTGAATGAATAGACTTCTCTTATGCGCGTAGTCTCCATTTTTGTGGATTTTAAGATATCCGTCCTTAAGCGGGAGGGCAGCGGCCTTGCGGCCAAACCATGATTCGTTGCTTATATAAATATTTACAGAGAGAATAATGAATCTTGAATTGAGTGATCGTTCACTAGACGGATGCTGCCACTGCACTTTTTCTTTGAAACAATATTTCTCTCTCTTATTTTTCACAACAATAATCTTATCTTTTTTTTCAAACCGGACGACTTTTCCTTTCCTTTTTTTTAAATATCTTTAAGCAAATGGTGATAAAGATTTTAGCACACGTAATCACTAACGCGATAAAACCTTTTCAAACGACTTTTGACAACTTTT